GTGGAGTGCCAACCTTGCCTGGTCCCAGCAGGTCTACTGAATAAACCCCTTACCTGAATACCACGTGCGTGCTGGTGCAGTTCTTACTCAGCCACCTCTTTTTAAAAACCTAACACCGGGCACCGTGGCTCACTCCTGTAATCCTAGCTACTCAGAAGGCTGAGATCTGAGGATTGCAGTTCAAAGCCAGCCCAGGCAGGAAAGTCCATGAAACTCTTATCTCCAGTAAACCACCAGAAAATGGGAAGTGGTGCTGTAGCTCAAGTGGTAGAGTGCTCACCTTGAGCTGAAGAGCTGAGGGATAGTGCTCAGGCCCAGAGTTCAAGCCCAATGACTGAAAAAAAAGAGTGTCATAGACTTTCCACGCAAACTCTGAGTTCAGGCTCTACAACCAACCAAAAAACACCAGAAAACAAAAAGCCATAAAGCCAAGTGCTGGTAGATTGTATCTGTAATCCTACCTCTGAAGACTGAGATATGAAAATTGTGGTTCAAAGCCAGCCCTGGTAGGAAAACCTATGAGACTCTCATCTCTAATTAACTACCTAAAAAATCAGAAGTGGAGCTATAGCTCAAAGTGGTAGAGTGTTACCTTTGAGCACAAAACCTCAGTGACAGCACCCAGGCCCTGAGTTTAACCCCCCGGACCAACAACAACATGAAAAGCCAGTAAACAAGACAGTATCATATAATCCAGGCATTTAATGAGTACATTCATAGAATAAGCAGAAAGAAACCTGCCTGATTGTTGCAATTAATGCAGAAGAATTATGTCACCAAATCCAGCACACTTTTTTTTAATCAGTTGTGGGGCTTGAACTCTGGGCCTGGGTGCTGTCCCTGAGCTTTTGCACTCAAGGCTAGCTCTTTACCACATTGATTAGCTCAACTCTACTGCATTGGTTAATTGGAGATAAGAGTCTCATGGACTTTCCTGTTTAGGCTAGTTTCAAACTGTGATCCTCAGATCTCAGCCTCCTGAATAGCTAGGATTACACGTGTGAGCTACTGGTGCCTGGTGCCTTAAAAAAATTTTTTTCAGGGCTGGGAAGGTGGCTCAGTGGAAGAGCGCTTGCCTTGCATGCTCAAGGCCCTGGGTTCGATTCCTCAGCACCACATAAGCAAAAAGAAAAAAGCCGGAAGTGGCACTGTGGCTCAAGTGGTAGAGCACTAGCCTTGAGCTAAAGAGCTGAGGGACAGCGCCCAGGCCCAGAGTTCAGGCCCCACAACTGGCAAGAAAAAAAAATTCAGTAGTTAACTGGAGATTAAGAGTCTGACAGAGCTGGGAAGGTGGCTAAGTGGTAGAGTGCTTGCCTTGCATGCATGAGACCCTGGGTTGGATTCCTCAGCACCATATAAGCAGAAAAGCTGGAAGTGGCGCTGTGGCTCAAGTGGTAGAGCGCTAGCCTTGAGCTGAAGAGCTGAGGGACAGCGCCCAGGCCTTGAGTTCAATGCCCCATGACCGGACCCAAAGAAAAAAAAAAAGAAAGAAAGAAAGTCCATGTCACCAAAAAGCTGAAAGTGGGGCTGCAGTTCAAGTGGTAGAGTGCTAGCCTTGATCACAAAAGCTCAGAGACAGCACTAGGGCTCTAAGAGGAGTTCAAACCCTAAGACTGGCACACACAAAAAAAGTCAATGCTGAGGCTGGGAAGGTGGCTCAGTGGTAGAGCGCTTGCCTTGCATGCATAAGGCCCTGGGTTCAATTACCCAGCACCACATAAGCAAAAAGAAAAAAAGCCAGAAGTGGTGCTGTTGCTCAATTTGTAGAGTGCTAGCCTTGAGCTGAAGAGCTGAGGGACAGCACCGCCGAGGCCCAGAGTTCAGGCCCCACGACCTGATCCAAAAAAAAAAAAAAAAGTTAATGCTGAAGTTATCACAATACCACATTACCTGACTTAAATACTGATTTTATACTAAAGAATCATAGTAACAAAACATCATATAAAACAGACACCTAGACCAGTGGAATAGAAGACCCAGAAATAAACCCACACAGATAACAAAGAAGCCAAAAATGTACATTGGCTAAAAGACAGCCTCTTCAACAAATGGTGTTGAGAAAACTGGACATTAAACATGGAGAAGACAAGACCTAGATTTGCATTACTCTGCATAAAAATTAATTCAAAATGGATCAAAGATCCATTTCAAAGGCGTGAAATTTTCCCTAACTGTGGGAAAACACTAGAAGGTACAGGCATAAACAAGGACTTTCTGAATAGGACTCCAGTTGCTCAGGAAATAAGAGCAAGAATTGACAAATGGAGTTGCATCAAATTAAAAAGCTTTTGCACAGCAAAGGAAACAATTACCAGAATGAAGACAACCCACATAATGGGAGAAAAATCTTTATATGCTATTCATTGGACAGGGGATTAATATACAGAAAATGCAAAGAGCTAAAAAAAAAACATGAAGAGAACAAATAATCCAGTTAATAAATTGGCAAACTGAACAGACAGTTCTCCAAAAAAAGTACAAATGGCAAATAAATAACATGAAGAAATTTTCAACATCCTTAGCCATAAGGAAATGCAAGTAAAAGTGACACACTTTCATCCTAATCAGAAAACAAGAAAAACAAATGCTGGTTGAGAAAATAGAGCTAAAGGAACTCTAATGCACAATTAGTAGGAAAGTAAATAAGTGTAGTCACTCTGGAAAACAGTTATGGAGGCATATAAAGAAACTAAAAATTATCTGGGAGTGGTAGTCCAGACCTATAGACCCATTTACTTGGGATTGTGGTTCAAGACCAGTATGAGCAAAAAGTTAGCAAGGGCACTGTTGGCCTGTAATCCTAACTCAGGAGGCTGAGATCTGAGGATTATTATTCAAAGCCAGCCAAAAAGCCAGAAGTGGAACTGTGACCCAAGTGGTAGAGCTCTAGCTTAGGGACAGTAACTAGGCCCTGAGTTTAAGCTCCAGGATTGGTGTGCATGTATACACACACACACACACAGCAAGATCAAATCTCAACTAATAAACTGAGAGTGGTGGTATGTATCTGTAATCCCAACTACTCTGGGAAGCACAAAAAGAGGATCCCAATGTAAGTCCAGCCGCAGACTAAAACATGAGTCTCTATCCCAAAAATAACTGAAATAGAAGCGGGCTAGAGACATGGCTCAAGTGGTAGAGTCTAGCAAACACAAGGTCTGAGTGTATACAACCCAGTAGCACCAAAAATAAAACCAGGAAGAAAGAAGAAAAAGGAACTAAAATGAAAACTACCATATTATCCTGATAAATGTAATTCAACATATAATAGATACCTATCCATCCATGAAATTAGCCTAGGTTACCAAAAGCCAGTGAATAGATAAGGAGATGGAGTCCCTATACATAATGATATGTTACTTGACAAATAGGAATGAAATTTTAAAAAATGGATGGAACTGGAGAGCATCAGTTTGATCCAGGTAAGTCAAGGTCAGACAAATATCACATTTTAGCTCATACTTGGACTCCAGACCTAAAAAAAATATGACATGATAGTAAAAGGGGGACTGTTTGGAGGCACAGAACCAACAGGATGGGAAAGGGGGAAAGAAGACGATGAAGGGGATAGATATGATAAAAGTACATCATATACATGTATGAAGTAGCCTAATGACCCTACCAAGAACTGTTACAAAGGTGTGGGAATAGCTGGGCGCTGGTGGCTCATACCTGTAATCCTAGCTACTCAGAAGGCTGAGTTCTGAGGTTCGCAGTTGGAAGTTGGAAAAGTCCATGATACTCTTATCTCTAATAAACTACTCAGAAAAAGCCAGAAGTAACCTGTGGCTCAGGTGGTAGAGTTTTAGCCTTGGGCACAAAGAGGCTCAGGGACAGGGCCTAGGCCCAGAGTTCAAGCCCCAGGACTGGCAGGGGAAAAAAATAGGTTGGGGAGGAGGGTTGGAGTACAAGAGTAATACAGATGAGGTGAATTTGATTAAACTATATTATATGCATGTGTGTAAGTATCACAATGAAAAACCTCTATAAATTATTTATGCTAATTTAAAAAACTATGAGCTCTAGTCCAGGCATGGTGCTGCACATTATCTCAGCACTAAGGAGGCTGATGTAGAAGGACCTTGAGCTAGAGGCCATCCTAGGCCATATGTCAAGACTCTTCCTTAAACATAAATAGAAGAGCTGGATTTACGCTTACGTGCTAAAGCACCTCCATAGCAACTATGAGGCCTTGGGTTCAAGTCACAATACTGGCGCAGAAAACAAGAAACAGATTCAAAGAGAATGGAGGCTGGGACGGTGCTCGGTGTAGAGCGCCTGCCTCACATGCATGAGGCCCTGGGTTTGACTCCTTAGCACCACATAGACAGAAAAAAGCCAGAAGTCATGCTATGGCTTAAGTGGTAGAGCACTCGCCTTGAGCTGAAGAGCTGAGGGACAATGCCCAGGCCCAGAGTTCAAGTCCCATGACTGATTAAAAAAAGCCTGGAGTTGAGTAAGAGATAGATAAAAGTATATATTGATAAATATTCGTATTCAGTATATATTTGTTGTTGACTTGTTATTTATCATTGACTATAGTAGACACTGCAGAAGGGACACTAAGACAAATCAGGTGTATATTCTACTTCAAGTAGATCTCCCAGGAAGAGAAACAATAAAACATACGTATGTGAGATATAGTAAAAGCCCATGTTAACTCCTGTGAAGTTTGAGAACAGTTAATAACAGCTTAGAGTTGGTGATTGCTCACAAGATGGCTAGGATTTGGACAGATGCCAGTGGTGGAGAGGGCATTTCAGGAATAGAGAACAGCATGATCACAGAGGTAGAGAAGCAGAAGGCATGCTCAGGGAAGTACAAACACATTTTGTTAGAATGTAGGATTTGTGAAAAGCAGTGGAAAATGTAAATGAAAAGATTGGCTGAGATTTGCCAACATTCACGTCACCTCAAATCTCCTTTTCAGGATTCCATCCGTGCAGTCTTGGGAAACTTGGACAATCTGCAGCCATTTGTTACGGAGCACTTCATTGTATTTCCCTGTATCCTTCATTTCCAGGCTGTTAATGAGCTGTATCTCCTTGGTCGATTCAAATGGAAGCAGCCAGACCACAGACATTCGGAGGTTAGATCAGGGCAAGGAGGGAGGGAGACCCAACCTTAAAACGTCTCAGCGGTGCACATCAGCCTCCCTCAGTCCTTAGCACCATTTCACAGATAAAAGCAAATGGGAGAGAGTTTCCCACCTGAAATTCAAACATGAGAAGGTCATCTTGGCTCCTTACCCGTTTGTTTTCACTCTCTATGTAGAGATGAAATGGCTTCACGAAAATCTGTCACCAGGTAAGTAGGATGACAGGAGTGACGATGGTAGAGAAGAAGGCCAGTCAGCAGGGGGAGCTGGGTATGGCAAGGGGTTCTGCCACACTGGACTCTGGCTGCACAGTGCACAGGCCTGGAACACACATTCTAAGCCTGGGTCAGTACCTCATCACTTTGCCATTTAAAAGCTGTGTGAGCTGGGCACTGGTGGCTCACGCCTGTAATCCTAGCTACTCAGGAGGCTGAGATCTGATAATTGTGGTTCAAAACTAGCCTGGGCAGGAAAGACCGTGAGACTCCTATCTCCAGTAAACCACCAGAAAATCGGAAGTGGCTCTGTGGCTCAAGCGGTAGAGTGCTGGCCTTGAGCTGAAGAGCTGAGGGACCGCGCCCAAGCCCAGAGTTCAACCCCCATGACTGACCAAAAAAATAAATAAATAAAAGCTGTGTGACCTTAGGTAATTACTTAAACCTTTCTGTGCCACCTAGTGAAATGGAGAAGAATCATACTAATAGCTATCTCACTGAGGTTTTTGTTGTTTTTTTTTTTTGTTTTTGGTCTGGTCGTGGGGTCTGAACTCTCTCTGGGCCTGGGCGCTGTCCCTCAGCTCTTCAGCTCAAGGCTAGCGCTCTACCACTTGAGCCACAGTACCACTTCTGGCTTTTTTCTTTTTGCTTACATGGTGCTGAGGAATCAAACCCAGGGCCTCAGGCATGCAAGGCAAGTGCTCTACCACTGAGCCACCTTCCCAGCCCATCACTGAGATTTTTTAAAAAACTTTTGTAAACTTCTTTGTTATCTTTTTTTGGGGGGGTGGGGGAGGCTGTGGAGGTTGGGGATGGGAGCAGGATGAGAGGCTTCGCCTGAAGATCTTGCCTTAGATCTTTGAGGAGTTTGGGGTGACCAGTCTCTAAGATTCCACTTGGCTAAGGACCACCTGCACACATACCTCCCATGCTCTGGATTGGATTCCCAGGATCCTGACTGATATCTGGCTGGATTTGGCTGTGTGGTTTGATATTTACCTGGTTGTTGTATGTCCATCAACAGTTCTAAGTCTGGCCAACATATTGAGGTTTTTTGTTTTTGTTTTTGTTGGTTGTAGGGCTTGAATTCAGGGCCTGGGCGCTGTCCTTGAGCTCACTTGCTCTAGGCTAGTGCTGTAGCACTTTGAGCTGCAGTGCCACCTTCAGCTTTCTGGTGGTTAATTGGTGATAAGAGTCTCATGGACTTTCTTGCCCAGGCTGGCTTTGAACTGTGATCCTCAGATCTCAGTCTTCTGAGTAGGTAGGATTACAGGTATGAGCCACCTGTGTCTGGCTTTCATTAAGATTTTTTAAAGGATTAAATATAAAAGAGCTGGGAAGGTGGCCCATTGGTAGAGTGCCTGCCTTGCATGCATGAGGTCCTGGGTTTGATTGCTCAGCACTCAGAAGTGGTGTTGTGGCTCAAATAGTAGAATGCAAGCCTTGAGCTGAAGAGTGAAGGGACAGCACCCAGACCCAGAGTTCAGGTCCCATGGCCAACAAAATAAAATAAATGGGGAATTGTCTTTACTGTGTCTTCTAAGCTACATTCCCAGCCCCATGAGGAGGTTTTGTCTGGTACTAGTTCCAAGAAGTAGATATAGCTTGAAATCCAAGCAGATTTATCCACTTTGACATTCGAATTTGTTGTAGGGAAGTCAATCAACAACACTTCTCCTGGATTGGTAAGTTTGCCTTGTCTGAACAAAATGGAATTGCCTCAATTGCTTCTGTTGTCTCCAAAATGCTCATCTTATCCCCTCCTCTGCCTTTACTACTCAGTGCCTGCCCCAGCCCCATCAAAATTAAAAACGAAAAACTATGTTTTCCTCTGGATCCATTTGTTGTATCTAATGGAACATCAATCCTTGCTGCAAAGGCATTTGCATTTGGCAATTTAAAAATGGGGAATTGGGGCTGGGAAGGTGGCTTAGTGGTAGAGCGCTTGTCTCGCATGCATGAGGCCCTGGGTTTGATTCCTCAGCAACACATAAGCAGAAAAAGTCGGAAATGGTGCTGTGGCTCAAGTGGTAGAGTGCTAGCCTTGAGCTGAAGAGCTGAGGGACAGCGCCCAGGCCCAGAGTTCAGGTCCCACGGCCAACAAAATAAAATAAAATAAATGGGGAATTGTCTTCACTGTGTCTTCTAACTGTGAGCCGTTCTGGAAAAGGACGGGTTACAGGAGTGTGGTTCTTCCCTAGGACCTAGCTGAGAAGAAAGCAGCAGAAGCTACAATGAGGAAACGAAAACTATCAGAGGAGCCCGGTTCCCCCAGCAGGCCAGAGCCGCACAGGTCAGTGGTGTTGGAGAGGCTACTTCTTGCCTCCCAGGCAGGCTTTGCCACCTGTATCTTGTCCTTGGGCAAGTCACTTTCCTTTGGGGCTTCATGAGTAATCTGCCCATTCCAATCGGTGGGTTACAGCAAGGAAGTGAGTTGATATTTGCAACGTAATTTGAACACAGTCCCTTTTTTCAGCAAAATACAGAGAGTACTTTCATCAAAATAAAGCCTTTTCTAGGGATATAGATCAGAGCTAAAGCTCTTGCTTAGCACGTGTGAGGCTCTGAAATCGATTCCTAAGTACTGGGGGGAAAAATGTAAGAAACTGAACTCAATGTTAAAACAACAACTACAAAAAAAAAAACCTACAACTGGGAAAACCTTGGAAAAGTTAAAATATAATTCTCGGAGCCAGGCACCGGTGGGGTGGCTCAGGCCTGTAATCCTAGCTACTCAAGAGGCTGAGATCTGAGGATCACGGTTCAAAGCCAGCCTGAGCAGGAAGGTAAGTGAGACTCTTATCTCCAATTAACCATCAGAAAACTGGAAGTGGTGCTGTGGCTCAAGTGGTAGACCCCCTAGCCTTGAGCTGAAGAGCCGGGGCACGGCGCCCAGGCCCAGAGTTCAAGCCCCATGACCAGTAACAACAGCAGCTATATATATATATATGTATGTATGTTTGTATATATATAATAACTATGTATATATATAATAACTATATATATATAATTTCCCTTTTTCAGTACGTTTCTTCTCTCTTTCCTCCTTCCTTCCTTTCCTCACTCCTTTCTTCCTTCCTTCTCTCCCTCCCTCTGTGTGTCCCTCCCTCCTTCCTTTCTTCTTCCTTCCTCCCTTCCTCCCTTCTTTGCTTTTTTCCTTCCCTCCCTCCCTCCCACCCTCTTTTCTTCCTTCCTTTTGCCAGTACTAGGGCTTGAACTCAAGTCCTCTTGCTCTCCCTTGTGGTTTCACTCCAAGTTGGTGCTCTACCATTTGTGCCATAGCTCCATTTCCTGCTTTTTTGGTTGTTACTTGAAGATAAGAGTCTTTTTTTTTCAGGGGGGGAGTCCAGTCATGGGGCCTGAACTCTGGGCCTGGGCACCATCCCTCAGCATTTCAGCTCAAGGCTAGCACTCTACCACTTGAGCCACAGTGCCACTTCCGGCTTTTTTTTCCCCTGCTTATGTGGTGCTGAGGAATGGAACCCAGGGCCTCATGCATGCAAGGCAAGCGCTCTACCACTGAGCCACCTTCCCAGTCCCCAAGAT